AAGACGTCATGGCTCGCTCATTATTGGGCTACCTCTGGCAAATCCCAATCTAGTTTTCGGTGGCAAGTCGTCCCCGACCCAAAAAGTCAATGGTGGACGCATATCCCGAGGGAGTTGCTTGTCCCGTCCCGGATTTTTACTAATGTAAGACTTAATTTTAAATGAGTAAGATTGACAGCCTTTAAGTCCAGACAGAATAGAAGGGGCCGCAACCAGGTTTTGGTGGATAGATTTAAGTTGATTTGTGTCTGTTGTATTGTGCGCGTAAAAGCAAAGGTAAAGAGAAATACAGAGCTGCTGAGCTGAAGAGTTGAGTGAATTTTCTAGCGTAGCCAACCGGAGCTGGTCTCCGTCTAAGGGGTTGTGCTGTTACACTACACACTCAAGCCGGAAAAAGTGTAATTATCATCACACTTTCCAAAATATTTAACCACTGCATCGCACACCCGGCAGGCTTACGTACCGCAGTCTTGTTTCCCGGTGATTCCACTGCTTCTCATGTCAAAAATCCAGACGAGGAATTACAGCTATCAGGAAAGGCTTATTGAGGGTGCCATATTATTAGGAGCTATAATAACCGGGGTAGCATACCCCGATTATGGTTCCTGGGCCCAGCTGTTTGAAACGTAGATAACGCTACCCACTGATAAATCTCTATCCAGTGGATAACATGATTGGTTTCCCTAATACTTATCCGCTGGATAGTGATTTATCCGTTGGATAACGCAATCTATCGCTTGAACAACGGGGCCAGATATTATGCGTGGCCGAAAGGTTTCCTCCTTGGAGATCACAGGGCACGTTATCACGAGATTGTTTCCCGTTTGTTCGTANCAATCTATCGCTTGAACAACGGGGCCAGATATTATGCGTGGCCGAAAGGTTTCCTCCTTGGAGATCACAGGGCACGTTATCACGAGATTGTTTCCCGTTTGTTCGTACGTTTGTTGTAGGCCGTATTAAGAAGTGTGGAAAAAAGCTTCCTTGTTTGTTGTTGTTTTTTTTGCTTGTTTTTCATTGTTGTTGGTTTTTTTTTCTCGATTATAAAATTGAGGGAGAGAGAGAGAGGACGTCAAGTTAAGTTTTTGCTCCCATAAATAAAAAAATATCTACAGCTTTTGAGCTACACTGATTTAGTTGAGCGTGCCAATTTTAGCTGTATGGACAACTGAGTTCCGTTTATTGATAAATTACAAGACTACGAATATAAAAAGTCCACTTTCTTCCACTAGACGTAACTCGTTTCAACCTCTAGTTTACTTTATTTTACATAGTTTGCGTATTGAGGCAGCTAACTGTAGAAAGGCAAATGAAAAGCGGCCATTCTAAGAAACCATAATGTGTAGATGCAATATTATAATATTATCCTTACTTCATATTTCATTTCTTTGTCTACCAACACACCGTGAAGTGCTCTGTTACAAACCCCCCATTTTTCAGCTTCCTCAGTTATAGGCCCAGCTACCTGCAAACAATGCAATTCCATCCAATTACAAGCCCCCTCTGACTGCATTGAAATGAATTCGATTAATTAGCACATTTTGAACTAATTTAACCTGTTAATTCCAGGCGTTCAAATAGTCATTTAACTCGCTCCCCACCATCTGACCCTCCCGCTCTACTATCTGAACGCCTGGAAACGGCTAGAATTAATTAAAAACCAGTGAACTGCAAAACCTAATTTGATCCGCCCTGCTATAAGTTGTTTGACGCAGCTTTTTTTATTCAGGTTATAAGCTAAGCCCACTGAGATATAAGCCCCTCTAAAAACCTCTTGCGAAGATGTATAAGCTCAGGATTAATAAGCGAAAGTTTACGGTAGACATCACTGATGCCAATGTACTCTGATTGGCGTTGACATGGTGTTGAAAAAGATAATACTAGGAAGAAAGACATAACTCGCTTTTGATCGCTCCCTAGACAAACCTGTACTTTTTGGTTTTCTGTCTCCTTATGTCAGTGGTTACTTGAGTAATATTAATTCCCTACTATTTCCAAATTCAAAGGACGCTTGGCAATCGGCCATGGAAACGCCCTTCGTCTACCACCCCAATTAACGATATGACAAAAAGAGTCGACTGAAACAATTCTACATTTAAACTTCTTTATTTATCTTTTATCCCTTTAAATGAAAGTTATTTGCCTTTTTCCCCTCGTTATCTTTTGTGTGTTACAACCCTAGAAAAAGTTGATCATCAAAAATCAACCACTCGGCTTTTTTAGTTTTTGCTATTCTGAGTAGTTTTTTTGCATGATCCATCTAGTTAACAAATTCTATTCTTGTAAACTTTCTTAATATGGCAAATAAAATGGTTGTTGTTGTTCCTATTGTTGGTCTTCCTTTTACAAATACTTAGCAATAGTTACCAGGGCTATAACAACGACTAAACTATCTTTAGTCGGTATTTTTTTTTGTTACTGCGAGGTCTACTGGACTCAACCAGCAATGGCACAAACATTCTTATTTTCATTTAATTAATCGAACCTGCAGTTATTCCAGCTATACAAGAATTTTGTCTAGTTCTGTTTGACTATTAAGAATTCTCTTCAATCGATTTGCCATTTGTTCAATTACCGAGGGATTGATGCCTTCCAGAAGGTCCACGCCTGGCAGCCAGAAGTGTGGAAGATTTCCCCTCTCCAGGTGAGTCTGCAGTTCCCTAAGAAATGCAAAAAACTTCTCGCCTAGGGAGTTCTGAGCATTCCAGCCATACGAATCTCTCATGAAATGCATGAAGGCGGTCTTCAAGTGATATGACTGAAGGGCTGCGAGAGATGTCCTCTCCCTCTTGACGATCGTCTTCACGATTCTAAGTAGTTCGTGCCTGCAACCACCGTCAGTATCCATATGCTGCAACTTTCCTTTTTCTTTAAGAGAAAACGACTGTCTCCAAAGGAGTTCAGGATGAGAGGTACGCGTCATCCCTGTGTAAGGTTTGGCTACGAAGTACTCTTCAGCCCCGATGTGGAAGCAAGGAACAAGATCAACCGATAGAAGCATCTCATTGGTTCTTTTTCTAGTGATGTCAATCTGGGTGGCAGGCCCATGGTAACGCACCTCCAAACGGAAGTCTGAACATGACAAACTGTGGAACGCATTCACTGCTTGAACAACGAGACTATGAAACCAGCCATTTCGAAGTCTTTCGGGAATTATGTACCCCTCAGCACTTGAATACCTACGAAGAATCGAACTTTCTTGGGCCTTTAGTCTTGCATATCCTGGTATTCCTCTGCCACCTTCAACGATGACTTCTTGCCTGGTTATTTTAAGAACAACCATAACATCCACTTCATCCGCCTTCTCTGTTTTCAGCCCCTCATACACGCTACCAGTGTACTCTCGTCTCAGGATTGGTATCAAAGAGTTACGTTCACAGTAGCTCATGACTTGTTTTTCAATGACTTCCTGCACCAGACTTCTGGAACGAACCATGTCTTCATTGGTGATCTTGACATTCTTCACAGAAAAATCGCGGAGTTTCTTGGTTAGTGGGTCCCCTCGCCTAGCTTGCGCCGAAGCCGACATTATCTATAATGTGAAGAAATGTACTTTATGTTGGTGTTTTTCACACAAGTCTACCACTATTCATCTCCATTTCGGTGAACAATTCTTAATTATTGCCACTTAAGGTAAGAAGCAGTTCTGTTTCTTTCAACAATATTCTACTCCTATAGATATAAATAAGCTAAACTGCGTTTCTGGTAGGCTCGATTTCCCTCGCTCTCTCGCTCTCTCGTCCTCCCCAGTGTTCGGACCTGTTCGGGGAAGGAGCGCGGGCTCATTTCCCGAACAGCGGCTGATAGTCGAGGCTACGTTTCTGGCCGAATTTTAACTACCATTTAATGTAGATAAGCTGATATTTAGCTATATTTGTAATAGAAGATACAAGACTTTTATCTAATAAATAAATAAATAAATAAACAACTCTTTGTCGAACACTGAATTGTCTAAGCTGGGATCGTCTATTTAAATTCGTCAAATTGAGAGGACTGCAGGCAGAGAGAATCCCCACCTTCGATGATAAATAGCTGAAAGAATAAAGTCGACCAGATGTACAAGTGTAGTTCGTTTCTTGAAATATGATCTGCTTTCTACCACGAAGGACAAAGGGTTATAGTCTATACCAGAGTAAGACATGTCTTTCATAAAAAAGACTCTCCGATACAATACAGTCATCAGGTTTTTATATTCTACTTCTCGATTCGCCTTCCCCTTCAAACCGGGGAAACTTTTTCGCTCCAACCAGCGCATCAGGCGTTGATCGGCTATCTCTAGTAAATTCTGACAAAATTGTTTTAGCGTTTTTCTTGTTTATCAGTTGTGTTTAACAGATTAAAGTAAGGGAAAACATATAATTTAACTGGTCTTAACTGAAAAGCGATATTTGTCTCAGCCCGTTAAACGTACGTCCCCGTTTGCCGAGTACGACTGATGGGAGTTTGTTGTAAGTGGCGTTGGCATTTAGCAAACGGTTCTAAAACTTTTTAAAACGCACAAGATGTTAATGTAATAAACCAACCTGATTGTATTTAGGGCTAAATATATGGGTTCTAGTCAGCACTGTTGTTCTCCCCGGTTAATAATGGCGGTCTCTTTTACACGACAGGCACTTTCGTGTTTCAGAAAGCAACCAATAGAAACAACCAAAAAGTCACTAATATGGACTTCCGGTTTTCCCAGAAAATATGACTTTGTTTCTTAGAATCGACAAAACAGTTCAGACTTACTGTTAAAAAAAGACTTCTTTTCAAGTGAAACTGATGTTATTCGTGGCAGTGTTGCTGAAAACAATGAAAATTTTATAGTTGCAAAATTTGTAAAATCGGGCGTTAATAGTTACATGAGCTCAACTCAACTGAAAAAAGATATTTTTAATTATTTTGCAAATGCAACGCTTATCAGACAGGTCCGCAGGTACTAGCTAGTCCGGCTATGCGAAACAGTCAGTCATACTAAAGCATTACAAAATATTCGAAGACAAACTTGTTAACTTACTGACTCGGAGTTAACGAATTATTGAAAAACCTGCGGAGCGGCTGAAGGCACCTCCGACCTCTTCGGGCACAAGCGGGTACTTACCATTTACATGGGAAAACCGGAGATTCGGGTTCAAAAATCAAATGGTTGCGCGCGTCATTCCCTTTGGAAGGCTTCAGAAAATATGGACTGTGATTTAAGGAGATGCAATCCCCCCTTTTTTTTTCTGTTAAGCTGATTTGAACATACTTTGAAGCGCGCATTTTTTTCCACGATGTCATATTTTATAGTTTTATGTTTATGCACCAGATTTCCACGCGGGTGGTTTGTGTAAATTGTAAGCACCCCCGGGCTGCTAGGTTTCAGCTAGGCTAGCTGAAATCCTGATATAAAGATGGCGTAATACCAGGATAAAAGTTATCTCGGTAAAGCGAATAAGCCCTGCAAAACGAGCTGGCCCGGATCAAAATAAAGCCCATCAGTAAACTTCGCACACTCACCTACGAATCGCCTTAGCCAAGCAGGGTTGCGTGATGCATTTGCAATCGTTCATCCGTTTCAGAATGTTATCGAGAATTTCCCTTGGAAATCAAAACCAGATTTGTCATATATTGAAGCTAAAAATCACCATCGATCAGACCTGATAAATTTGATTAGTTGTCAAGTGCGAGAACTTGTCGTTCTGCTTAATCCTAAACTTGCAATTGAGGATGCATGAGGTAACACCAGACTCGTACCCAGTCGGACCCAGTCGCTATTTATGTGTTTTGGGGGTGAGAGAAGATCGGGGTTAGGTTGAGGCGCGCGGGGTGTCATGGAAAGGTACGAAGGGAAAATAGCGTCGCTATTTTTCCTTCGTCCCTTCCCATGAGACCCCGCGCGCGCCTCAACCTAACCCCCAATCTTCTCTCACCCCCAAAACACATAAATAGCGACTGGGTACGAGTCTGAGGTAACACCGTTATTATTGTTATTTAGTGTACTTTACAGAATCACTCTTCTGCGCATCATTTATATATAAGTTTTTATAAGTAGTTTTGTTAACTGCCCTGAAAGAAAACATTCAGTGCATCGGTGAAGTTATCTGTAACCACAGGTGGCCCAAGCGTAAAATGAGAGTTTGTATGGGAAATAAAGAGTTGGAAACTTAGATAAAATAACTGAACGAAAAGCGATAAAAGTTATTAATAAAGTGTAAATATTGTTTTTTCGTGTCATTGTGTTTGTTTTTACGAAGTTTCAGCGCGCTTTGAGTACTTTTACATCACTTGACCTGACATTGTAATAATAAGAGACAAGGTAGGACAGAATCGCTCGATAGACCTTCAAAGCTGCTCAGAATCAGCTCCAAATTTCTCGCGAAAAAACAAACGCACTTACATTTTACGCCACCGAATCCAGAAAGTGATGCCTTAAGATCACCTTCCTGCAATCTGTTCCGGTAAACCTTGCGTTTGGATCGCATAACTCGATCGAAAAGATCAACTACAGTTCAAAAATCGGCGCCACTTATCCGTGGCTAGTAAAAGTGTAACATTTCAACCGTCTTGTCGCTCGGCGGTGACTGGGCGCTAGCGTCAAATAGTAACTCACCAGGAGAGGGTGACATTACTTCGTTATGTCAAATCTCTATGCACTCACCTCCGAGCAAGGTCGGCTTCTTTGTTTTCACTCGGCCAATGAACGTAGCAACAAAAAAAACAAAGAAGCCGACCTTGCTGGAAGGTGGGTGCATAGAGATTTGTCTTAACGAAGTAATGTCACCCTCTCCCGGTGAGTTACTATTTGACACTAGCGCCCAGTCACCGCCGAGCGACAAGACGGTTGAAATGTTACACTTTTACTAGTCACGGATAAATGGCGCCGATTTTTGAACTGTAGTTGATCTTTTAGATCGAGTTATGCGATCCAAACGCAAGGTTTACCGGAACGGATTGCAGGAAGGTGAACTTAAGGTACCACTTTGTGGATTCGGTGGCGTAAAATGTAAGTGTGTTTGTTTTTTCGCGTGAAATTTGGAGCTGATTCTCAGCAGCTTTGCAGGTCGATCGAGCGATTCTGTCCTACCTTGTCTCTTATTATTACACTGTCAGGTCAGATGATGTAAAAGTACTCAAATCGCGCTGAAATTTCGTAAAAACAAAGACAACGAATCCAGGTAACAATATTAACACTTAATTGATAACTTTTATCGCTTTTACTTCATTTATTTCATCTAAGTTTCAAACTCTATTTTTCCCACACAAACTCTCATATTACGCTTGGGCCACCTGTGCTGTAACTGGAGCACTGCTGTATTAGAGGCAACCTTCAAAATATGGCCATAACTTACTTAGATTTCTTGTCTCGTTTTGTTTTGCGGTTTGTTTGTTTGTTTTTTGTAAAAAAAAAACAACGTCCTTGAAAATACCATTTTACTTCTTTATCAGCTCGTCTGAAACAGGCATGCCGTTTTGGATTTGAATGTTAGCGGAAGACAAACTGACGAGTAAACTTCGTTATTTTTCCTTTGTGCACTACATTACAAAGAATCGAGACGATTGGGATAGCCGGAACTGCTAATTCCTTGGGAAACACTTTCTACGTTTTATTAGGAAACTTCAGTCTTTCCTGGAGGAAGGAAAAGCCGCAAAGCCGGATAGCATTTGTGCAGGCACTAAACCATACGGGATAGGCCAGGGCTTGTGTTCACATAAGAACGCCGGGTTGATTTCGGCGCGAATTCTGCGGTAACGGTACGATGCGCCGCACCCGATCTCTAAAGTGGAGGGTTACATATCGGGTAGGTGTTCATACTCTACCGGATAGCTTAGTATCCGTTTTAAGATTAGAGGTGAGGTTTAAAAGTCATCCGGCGACCCTGACCATTTAATGAGTGCAGTTAGAAACACGTTATCCTGTTCACTCGTATTGACTGCTCTCTTGTCACATTGCAGTTTCCTTTATCAAGACTGAATATAACCTATGGACAATTCTGCTATTAACAAAAATCCTAAGCGAAAAGGAACCGACAAGAGAGCTTTCCTCAAACGCCTACATGGTGGATTGAACCAGCCACTGGAGTCGACCGAAACCGATGAACCAGCGCCATAAAACTAGACGTAAACTGTGTTCTTAAACAAAGGTTTACCGTGTGAAAACAGTCACAAAAGGCCACATGGGCCAAGCAAAGGCCTAGTGCGCATGACAGGAGCAAGTAGGACGCAGGCCTTGTGTAAGGTGTGGACTAGTAATTATTGCCTTCTGTTGTTTCAAGAAGACATATAAGGATGGCCTATTAAACAGTTAGCATAAACAGGAACAGGATACTCAGTTGTAATTTATTGGAACGTGCGGACCAAATTCTATTTAAAAACTACAATAAGCAGAAACTTCATAAACATTCCAAACATTCATCTCAAAGTAAATCATGTAGGGGTTTTCACCTGTTGTTAGAACAAAGCCCACGAAATATAAAGTGAGCTCCAGTTTGCAAAAGGGTGAAGATCAGGATACTTTGCAGTTGATAACCTTGCATGAAGGAAATTGAGTTATCCAAATTTATTATTCTGTAACTCGCATTTGACAATAAGCCTTTCAGTAGGAACTTTGAGTTCTACCTTTACCTGGGTGAGTCAAGACAACAATAAGACGACGTGGTCCTAAACGAAGTGCAGACTAACTTGATGTAATGACTGATGCCTCTTGCGTAATCAAAATAGAGCTTAATTCCCCCCTCCCACCCACCCACCTCCAAAAGTCCCTCTTACCTATGTAAAACTGTGTACCGACAATAACATCATTAACTTTTACATTTCTTCACCCATGTTCCAACGTGCCATAACTGACTGAAAACCCCTTACTTTAACATCTAAACTTTCTCAATTTTTTTGGAAGAGACAAATCTGCTTGGCTACTCAAGTATTTCGTTCATTACAGTTTCACTATTCAGGATTCTTTTAATTCGGCATGCCATGTTATTGACCACTACTGAGTTGATGTCTTCAAGAAGGTTTATGCCGGGTAACCAGTAGTGTGGGAGATTCCCTTTTTGTAGAAATCGCTGCAGATGTTGGAGAAAGCCATGAAAATGTCTTCCCAGAGAGCTGTAGTTATTCCAGTCGCTGGGGTTCTCTGTCATGTAGTGCATGAAGGCTGTCTTCAGATGGTAAGATTCCAGTTGTCCAAGGGATGACCTCTCCCTGTTGATGATGGTTTTCACGATTCTAAAGAGCTCATGTCTACAGCCGCCGTCTCTATCCATGTCACGCAAGAGCGCTTTCTCCTTCAGTGAAAAGGACTGTCTCCATAGAAGGTCTGGGTCGGAGACATACCTTCTCCCTCTGTAGGGTTTGGCGACGTAGTAGTTCTGGTCTGATCCAGCTTGAAAGCAAGGCACAAGGTCAACCGACAACGTCGTCTCGCTGGTTCCGTTCTTGGTGATATCAAGTTGAACAGCAGGCCTATGGTAACGTACAACCATCTCGATGTCCGAGTTCCGACAGCTTTTTTCGTAGTCGTTCACTGCTCGGACAACTAGACTGTACCACCATCTGTCAAGAAGCCTCTGTGAACTGATATTCCCATCAGAATCGGCATAGTCACGAAGCTTGCTGTCCTCTCTCGCCTTTAGACGCACAAAGCCGGGCACTTCATCATTATCCTCCACCATGACTTCCGGATCACCCCACAACCAAGGACTCGATGTNTGCCTCTTGCGTAATCAAAATAGAGCTTAATTCCCCCCTCCCACCCACCCACCTCCAAAAGTCCCTCTTACCTATGTAAAACTGTGTACCGACAATAACATCATTAACTTTTACATTTCTTCACCCATGTTCCAACGTGCCATAACTGACTGAAAACCCCTTACTTTAACATCTAAACTTTCTCAATTTTTTTGGAAGAGACAAATCTGCTTGGCTACTCAAGTATTTCGTTCATTACAGTTTCACTATTCAGGATTCTTTTAATTCGGCATGCCATGTTATTGACCACTACTGAGTTGATGTCTTCAAGAAGGTTTATGCCGGGTAACCAGTAGTGTGGGAGATTCCCTTTTTGTAGAAATCGCTGCAGATGTTGGAGAAAGCCATGAAAATGTCTTCCCAGAGAGCTGTAGTTATTCCAGTCGCTGGGGTTCTCTGTCATGTAGTGCATGAAGGCTGTCTTCAGATGGTAAGATTCCAGTTGTCCAAGGGATGACCTCTCCCTGTTGATGATGGTTTTCACGATTCTAAAGAGCTCATGTCTACAGCCGCCGTCTCTATCCATGTCACGCAAGAGCGCTTTCTCCTTCAGTGAAAAGGACTGTCTCCATAGAAGGTCTGGGTCGGAGACATACCTTCTCCCTCTGTAGGGTTTGGCGACGTAGTAGTTCTGGTCTGATCCAGCTTGAAAGCAAGGCACAAGGTCAACCGACAACGTCGTCTCGCTGGTTCCGTTCTTGGTGATATCAAGTTGAACAGCAGGCCTATGGTAACGTACAACCATCTCGATGTCCGAGTTCCGACAGCTTTTTTCGTAGTCGTTCACTGCTCGGACAACTAGACTGTACCACCATCTGTCAAGAAGCCTCTGTGAACTGATATTCCCATCAGAATCGGCATAGTCACGAAGCTTGCTGTCCTCTCTCGCCTTTAGACGCACAAAGCCGGGCACTTCATCATTATCCTCCACCATGACTTCCGGATCACCCCACAACCAAGGACTCGATGTTTTCAGCACTACCATAACATCCACTTCATCTGGAGCTTCCGTTTTCAGCCTCTCGTACACGCTTCCAGTATACTCTAGTCTCAGGATGGGAAGAGAGGATTTCATTCGGCAGTACTCCATGATCTTGTCCTCGACGTATTCCTTCACTAGGTGTCTGGAAAACGTCAAGTCAGCTTCAGAGAATTTCACATTTTTCGCAGAATAACGACGAAGATTCTTTGTCATGGTATCCTCTCCAGCCAGCCAACGCCACACAAACATTCTACAAAACGATAAATAGAAAAAAATATATGACGGAATTATCCAGTACTTAAAAGTACGATGTTTCCGAGTGAGAGTGGCGAGCAAAGAAATACAGATTAATGAGACGGAATTAAAAGCAAATGACTCTGGAGTTTCTCCCGCGTTTCTCCATAATAGAAAATTTGGAATAAATTCAAGGGACTACTCACTCCATTACAAGACAAATTTAATCGGGGATTCTCCTCAAACGTTTCCTTTTTTTCGGTGACCCTTCAGTCTCAAATACTCCAGCCCACACCCAACTCATTAGAAACCTAGACACTCAGATTAAACTCTTTTAACTGTACCCTGGGTAACAGGGGTTCGAAGGGAAAAGGAAAGAAAGAATAAAAGCGATTATGTAAATGTGAAGGATATTCAAACAACGTAGCGATGATACAATCCAGTGAAGGAGCATGGGTGTCAAGACAGTCCATTGAAGAGCAGTTTCCAATTTAAGGATTTAATTTTCCACTGATGATCAGACATTATATTATTTGATATTCCTCAGATTTTTAAGACGTGTTAGAATGTGGAACATCTGCAATATATTGCTATATATTTCTCCTCAGCTTCATTTACTGATTCAGACCAAACTTTTCAGGTACTGATCAAATATTATAGAAATATACTGATAGTTGTTATACAAAAATTGCCCCCGGTAAGGTAATCTGCAGTCCGGAATCCGGGAAATTTTTGCCCGTGGAATCCGGAATCCTGAGTTTAGAATTACCGCTAACGACTGGAATTCGGAATCCCAGTTCCACTGACAAGGAATCCGTGGCCTGTTCCAGGTTCAATGATAGTGGGGACAACGGATCGAAAAAGAAGGGAGAAAAACCGCGTGCGCTTTTCGCTCGTCTACACTGACCCTGAGCCTGGCACAGGATAACTAATGTGCGGTCGCGTCAGGCTACAACCAATAGACTGATTTAGCACCAGGACGCGGCCTTCATTTAGGACGGCGCGCTCGGTCAAAGGGCTTGGTATCAAGTTAAATTCCCGCGTCCTGAGAATGTGGCGTCGCGTTGCGAACGTGGAATTGAGTATTTTGGCGTCTTGTCGAGAACGGCGAGTTCAACAATGGCAAATGCACCGAAAAAGTGAGTGTGTTTTAAATACGATGTTTCAGCCCTTTGAAATGTTATTTCGTTATCTTTTGTCAGAATTGTGATGAGCTGGACGGAAGAAAAAGACATACTGTTGATGAGAGAAATGGCCGCCCAAGGCATTTTCCAATTTAAAAGTGGAAGCAAAGAAAGAGGCAATATATGGCAAGCAATTGCCAGCAATCTCAATGGCAATAAAGATCTCTTTAGTTATGTCAGCTCGAGAGGTTGTAGAGACAGATTTACATTGATTTCAAGAAGGTATAAGGCCAAAACTGCCGAAGAATTGAAAAGCACAGGTGGTGGGAGTGAAGACGAACCAAGCGAATACGATTTACTTCTGGAAGAGTTAACTCATCTGAGTGAAGAATCTGACAAAAGAGCTGACACAGAAGCCGAAACCGCTAAAAAAAAAGTCAGTGCAGAAAAGGAATTGGCT